TAACCGGGAATCGAACCGGTGACCTCTTGGTGCATGGGTCGACGCTCAACCACTGAGCCACACCAGCCGGGCTCAGTTAGAAACTGGGGATACAAGACCCCTGCTCTTGTAGGACGTGGGTTCAAGTAGGGAACCAGACACTATCCAAATGAAAGAATACGTGATAAAACGGCAGGTGTTCCTGGAAAGAACGAACATAGATGCTAGGTGGCATTTCAGTGACAGATTCGCTGTCACACTGGATATTTCCCTTTGGATTCAGGATATCCAACTTGGTGAAGTGGAAGAGGCAAATAATCAGATGACTTAGAAGACAAATTGTGAACGGACCAAGGAGAGTGTGGGCCACGAGGGGATCGCTTTGTGATGAGCGAGATCCACAGTGAGCAGGAACTCACACCCTGGGACTGTCAACTGGACTCAGAAAGACCTGGGTTGGAGTCTCAGCAACTCTGCTGTGTGACCCTGGGCCAGTTCCCTCACCTCTCTGAACCTCAGGGGCTTTATCTGTAGAAAAGATATATAAATACTTCTTTGAAAGTTTGTGCTGAAGATGAAGAATATTGCACTGTATGTAAACCGTTAGTGTAGAGCCTCCTGTCTGTGGGCACATACATCGTCAAAAAAGATGGGCATTTGTGTTTCCTCTCCTGGGCCATGAGTCTGTAAGCCCAGCCAGCACCCGTCTACTCTCTCTCTCGGCAATTTAACTAGAATTGAATGGACGGAGAGGATTCATGTTAATGCTGTTACCCCAAGAAGCTGTTTAGTATTTCCCGCTGTCCCGTCCCCGGTTCCCGTCCTCGCTGAGGTCTGATTGTCCAGTTGTTTTTTCAATCCCACATGCTTTTAGTAAATTCCCTTTTTGCTGATTGCCCAGAGAATTCGTTGACTTGCTTCTAAAACACTTTAACTGATTCAGTTAGCATTATTAAAATGATTAGTAGTGTTCATCTCTCTAGTACAGAATATAATTATTACACATTACTATCTCTAATAATAGTAGTAGTTTTCATTTTTTATCCTCACCCGAGGACATTTTTGCATTTATCTTCAGATAGAGTGGGAGGGGGAGAGAGAGAGAAATATCGATATGAGAGAGACACATCGACTGGTTGCCACCCACACGACTCCAACCGGGGCTGGAGATGAACTGCAACTGAGGTACGTGCCCTTAGCGGGAACTGAACCTGGGACTCTCTGGTCTGTGGGCTGACACTCCAACCACTGAGCCAAACTGGCCAGGGTGGTAGTAATAGTTTTATTATCTTTCTTAGAAGTAAAACATCTTAACTGGGCCCTTGGTTTAAAGATGATAGAGGATGCACACATACTAATAAATACTAGATTTCTTCCCTGGATCTTTGATCATTGAGAAAATGCCACCTATTTTGTCTAAAATGCATAGGATGCTTTACCAAGATCCTGGCCTGGAGAAGAAAGACCGAAGCTCACATTATTTTCCTGCATGCCACAGGGGACGCCGAAGAACATTCTGGGCTTGGATGCTCATCTCAGAAGTGCAGAGCTCTGAGGGGCATAAGTGGAAATTCAAACCCCAGAGATCCTGGGGTCCTAAGACGGGAAAGGCTATTGAGAATCATTGAAATAGCCTGTGTTTCCATGGATGCCAGCATCCACCCCAGGCCGGAATTTTATCCTCTCGCATCCTCCTGCTGTGCAGATTTGACTTGGAGGTTATGTTAGATTAGAATAAACACAAACATACATGGATTTTTGTGGTCTCTTGTTTATCCTTAAGACATTTCGCTCTCCGGTCTGCTGGCGTGAGCTCCATCTGCGGCAGTTCGGAACGGACCCCAGTGCATCTTATAGATGGGAAAACAGAGGCCCCGAAAGAGAAGACCGCTGACCAGGGTCACTGGGAACTAGTATGAGGGCCGGTCCTGAAACCGGGTCTCTGACTTCTCCAACCTAACTCGGGGGTAAAGAAAGAATGTCAGGAGATTAAAAAATAGTGGGGGCTTTGTTTTCTTTCACTTTAAATCCAGTGTAATTTTTTTTTTTTTTTCTAGCTATATTCTCGGGCTTTTGAGCTGCAATCCTGAGCAGATAGAGTCATCCTGTGGGCGGTGTCTGGCCACAGTCTGGCCTTCTCATTCCAGCCCGTGACGGGGGCCGGGGAGGGCACCCCATTCCTGCACAGGGCAGGCCCCGTCCGGTGCCAACTAGACCTGCTCTTATTTCTTTCGCCAGGCACGCTGGCTTGTGGGCACCGTTGAAGCTTCTATCACTTTTACTATAAAAATCTTAATATGGATTTTGGTCGCAAAAACTCAAATCATCCAAAACAATCCTAAGTAAGATCTGTATCGAGTGGGAGCCTGAGATGACAGCGTCTGGAACTTCCTACGAAGGTGCCGTTCCCAAAGCTTCCTCCCACCCCTACCGCCATCCAGTTAAATCCTAGCCACTCTTTTCCTTGTTAGGACACACTAAGGATACTCCCTGGGGGCATGTTGGTATGTCTTCTTCATGTTTCAGCATGTTCATTTATAGTCCTTTCGATTATATGTGTGTATAAACACTTTATCCTCAATTTTCCATTTACTCTTTCCCAGAACTTTAATGTTACTACAAACTCTTCATAGATGTCATTTAGGAAAGCGACATAATTTTCATGCATTTCAGTCATGTCATCATCCCCTGGTTGTGGGCAATTGAGATTTTCCTGTTTGTTTTGCTAATTAATAACTTAATAAATATAAGCATTTTTTCTAATCCTTCAGAGGGATTACTGAAAATAATCAGTAATGCGTCAACCCCTCTCTTAATGTCTGAATGGGCCATTGTAGTTTATTCTTGCCAGCTTTAGGGGACTTCATTCAAGGAATAAAAAAACTGTTTGCCAACTGATACGCAAAGCATAAGAGTTTACATATGTGATCTTGTGTTTACTCCTGAATTTGAACTTGGGTCCATGTTCTCCAACCAGTTACATTTCTTCTTTGGTGAAACACCACGTCTGTATTCCTTGTGTCCTTCTGTCTCATCTCCCACATCTCCCACGAAGGGCTTTCACTGTCCCTTCAGCACCAACTAACCCTTCTCCTCGTCGCCAGTCTTGAACGCCACAGTCAAGTCACAATAACTATGTGTGGCTGTAATGAAAACACTTGGGGATAAGCGTTCTCTCTCCAACTAGCGTGTGAGCGCTTTGCCTGGCTCAGACGGAGAACATCCTCGGCCACTGCGGGAGGTGGCGGGGGGCGATGAGAAGTAAGGTGGCAGGCCCAGGTCCTTCGGTTTATCAGCATCAGATGGCTGAGGACAGCAGCAGGTGACACCAGGAGAGACACAAGGAGACCTTGGTCTGTAGTCTGCACCTCCACTCAGTTTTCACTCAGACTCACAGACCATCATGACATCTACACTGTGTCCCCGTGAACTACAGATGGGACAGAGCCAACCTCTGCATGATACACTGAAGGCTTTGCAGAGGCAGGGCTAAGGCACTGATAAAACTCTAGAAAGTACTCTTCAGATAAGCCAACTTTTAAATAATGTCAGATTTTCAACACAAAGGCCAACCCCATGGAAAACCACAGTTAAGAAAACATCACCCTTGAAACAGAACTGGAGGCACAAAACCTGATTCATCTCCTGACTGTTGTTGCCAACGACCCTCGTCTTTCTTGGGGACTTGAGAAACCAGTGACTCCCTAGTCTCCACCCCCCCCCCCCCCCCCGCACAGCATCTCACCTATACGGAGAGGATTATCCTGCTCCCAAATTATGTTAATGAGCACAAACCCGAGATTAATAGGCTAAGCTGCTCCTAGCACTCGATGTGGGAAGAGGAATCACTCCAGCCTGTTGTTTTTAATTAATCCCCTGTGCTCTAGGCTTATCTAGTCTCAGAAAATGAAAACCATATATTTTACAGTATGCGTGCCAAATTGTATGTGTAATTCAGTGGAAAACCCCTAGCAATAAAGGAGGAAGCTCTAAAATTACCAGCAGCTCCCTGGGTCCCAGGAAAGCCTGGACAACATTTTGCAAACTTGAGAGCTCCTTCAAACCCCACTTGACTCTCAAACCTCAGAGTGTATCTTACTGTTGCCTGGAAGTATCCCATAGATCCAGTGTTGCCCAGTGTTATCAAAGGGCCAGGGGGGAAGGCCATGATGAGCCTCTGCTTGCTTTCAGAACAGTTATGTATAGAGAGGAATCTGAAACTTGTATCTATTAAGAAATCTAAGCCATCACTCCAAAGACAAACGGATCAAGAAGTCTGATAAATCGTGTGTGTGCACGTGTGTGTATGTGTGTGCACGCGCGCATTAGGGGTGAGGGAAATTGAAGACAAGAACTTTGACTTCATTGGTCTAATGCCAAACACAGCAGGAAAGACAATCATTATTCCACTATTTTAACATTATGATGTAATTTGCTATTAATTGCCCCATTCTACGCTAGGAATTTTTGTTTTGTTTTTTAAAGATGTGGTATGTTTTGCCTTTGTATAAGGAAAGTAAGTTGGAGCACATGTGTGAGATGCGAGGTGTGTGTGTGTGTGTGTGTGTGTGTAAAGGTTGACATTCGTTAAACACTACTCTGCATTCTAAAATCAGGTACTATAAACATTTCTTTGTTAGAATCTTATGCATTAGGTGTTATCCTCATTTGTGAAATGGAAATGATGATATCAGCATCTAAGAGGTAAGCAACTTTCCCAAGTAATGAGAACGCGAGGGTGTGAACTCAACTGTTTCCAGTGCTTCAGGATACAAAGGCTACGCCCTCCATCCAAGATTCATAATCATCCCTCCCACGTGCAGACAGCTTGAAAGGTTTCTGATGTGCGTTCCCACGCACTGTCTCTTATAGACTACTCAGCAAAACTGTGAACTCATTACTCTGCCCTAGAGAAGAGGGTGTTGAGATTCAGAGAAGTGCTGTTTTATTTGTGGAGATAACTATGGGTAACCCAGGAACGGAGCGAGCAAAATTGCCGTCTGTAAGGATGGAAGTCTCACCTGTGGTCCTCAGGGCGACATCTCGGCTTCTTAAGGCTCAGGCAAGGCCCTGATGACTCAGCCTCCGTGTTCCCTCCTCCGTCTCCTCAGCCTCAAGACTCCACCTTCCAGCCACAGTGAACTCTCTTGAGCTCCTCTATATCGTCACGACAGCTCCAAGCTCTGGGCCTCTTCACAGGCCCCTTTCTCTCCGGAACAAGCCCATCACGACCACACCTCCTTCCACTCCCATCTGGACAACATCCACACCTTTCGATCCTCTCGATGTTCACGTCCCTTCCTCGGGGACGCCTTCCCTGAAACCCACACGTGTGCATGAGCTGCCCTCCTTTGTGCTTCCCCAGCCCTGTTCTTCCCATTTCATTTATTAAAAAAAAAAAAAAAAAAGCTGACTTTTAGAGAGAGAGGGGAAGGGAGAGGAAAAAAGAAACATTGATGTGAGAGCGGAACATCGATCAGCTGCCTCCTGCACAACCCCTACTGGGAATCAAGCCCAAAACCTGGGCATGTGTCCTGACCGGGAAGGGACCCAGCAACTTTTTGGTGCACAGGACAATGCCCAACCGATTGAGCCATACTGGCCAGGGCCCATTTTACTTATTGTACTGTATTCTGATGGACTCTACTCAGCCATATTCCAACCATGAATCCATAATCTTCAGGAAGGCGGGAGCTGCAACACCCCTCTGCCTACACAGTGCTGGCCGATGGGAAACATGCCCCAATGACTTGACCACCCTTGGAATTTTAGTTCTTTTATCAGGTAGAGAGAAAGTTAGGGAGACTCTTTGTGTGAAGTAAGGCTAGACTCTGCTCTTAAATGGTTGAATTTGCAGAGGGACAGGGAGAGGAAAGGACACCCTCAATTTTGAAAATAGCATCAGGTCCTATTGAGCATGACATGTTCATGGAACAGGGAAGACCTTGGGTAGGTTCAGGAGGAGGCTGCACATTGGTGAGTAAGAAGGACAATACTAACAAGACTTGACATTTATTGAGCACTGACTGTGTGCCAGTCACTGTTCTTAGACATACACACCCATTAACACTTGTAATCCCTCAGCAACCCCAGGGGAAGTAAATTTCCCAAGGTCACCCAGCTAGAAGGAGACAAAGCTGGGATTCAAGCTAAGATCTTCCTGTGGTAGAGCCCATGATTTTTCCGTATAGATTCCCACATACTACAGGCACTGGATCCGTCAAGTGGAAGAGTGGAGCAGGATATTTAAAATCCTCCTTCTGAGAAATCATGGGCACACCATCACCACAGCACAGATGCTATGGAGGGTTATGAGCAGGACTCTCTGGGCATGATAAAAATCAAAACATTCTCTGACACCTTCGTGAAGGAAAGAAATGGAGAGGAAGAGAGTGGCTTAGGAAAATTAATAAACTTTCGCAGTGGTCCAGGAGAAAGAATAAAAGGGAAGAGATAGTTGAAGAGGCATTTGGAGGAGGATGAGGGGTGACTAGCAAGGCAGACCAGTAATTTAGAGCATTTTTCTGAAGCAGCAGCTCTGGGAAAATATGTGCTGGTAAATCTTTAATTACTGGCTCTAGATGGGAGGAGCTCTGCCTTGTAGGGCCATGAAGTAAATACTCCCACTCTGGTCATTTGCCATGGTGTAAATACTCCCACTCTGGACATTTGCCATGATGTAAATAATCCCACTCTGGTCATTTGCCATGGTGTAAATATTCCCACTCTGGTCATTTGCCATGGTGTAAATATTCCCACTGTGGTCATTTGCCATGGTGTAAATACTCCCACTCTGGTCATTTGCCATGGTGTAAATACTCCCAGTGTGGTCATTTGCCATGGTGTAAATACTCCCACTGTGGTCATTTGCCATGGTGTAAATATTCCCACTGTGGTCATTTGCCATGGTGTAAATACTCCCACTGTGGTCATTTGCCATGGTGTAAATATTCCCACTGTGGTCATTTGCCATGGTGTAAATATTCCCACTGTGGTCATTTGCCATGGTGTAAATACTCCCACTGTGGTCATTTGCCATGGTGTAAATACTCCCACTGTGGTCATTTGCCATGGTGTAAATATTCCCACTGTGGTCATTTGCCATGGTGTAAATACTCCCACTGTGGTCATTTGCCATGGTGTAAATATTCCCACTGTGGTCATTTGCCATGGTGTAAATATTCCCACTGTGGTCATTTGCCATGGTGTAAATACTCCCACTGTGGTCATTTGCCATGGTGTAAATACTCCCACTCTGGTCATCTGCCATGGTGTAAATATTCCCACTCTGGACATTTGCCATGATGTAAATACTCCCACTCTGGTCATTTGCCATGGTGTAAATACTCCCACTCTGGACATTTGCCATGATGTAAATACTCCCACTCTGGTCATTTGCCATGGTGTAAATAATCCCACTCTGGTCATTTGCCATGGTGTAAATACTCCCACTGTGGTCATTTGCCATGGTGTAAATACTCCCACTCTGGTCATTTGCCATGGTGTAAATATTCCCACTCTGGTCATTTGCCATGGTGTAAATATTCCCACTGTGGTCATTTGCCATGGTGTAAATATTCCCACTCTGGTCATTTGCCATGGTGTAAATATTCCCACTGTGGTCATTTGCCATGGTGTAAATAATCCCACTGTGGTCATTTGCCATGGTGTAAATACTCCCACTCTGGTCATTTGCCATGGTGTAAATATTCCCACTGTGGTCATTTGCCATGGTGTAAATACTCCCACTCTGGTCATTTGCCATGGTGTAAATATTCCCACTGTGGTCATTTGCCATGGTGTAAATACTCCCACTCTGGTCATTTGCCATGGTGTAAATATTCCCACTGTGGTCATTTGCCATGGTGTAAATAATCCCACTGTGGTCATTTGCCATGGTGTAAATACTCCCACTCTGGTCATTTGCCATGGTGTAAATATTCCCACTCTGGTCATTTGCCATGGTGTAAATACTCCCACTCTGGTCATTTGCCATGGTGTAAATATTCCCACTCTGGTCATTTGCCATGGTGTAAATACTCCCACTCTGGTCATTTGCCATGGTGTAAATATTCCCACTGTGGTCATTTGCCATGGTGTAAATACTCCCACTCTGGTCATTTGCCATGGTGTAAATACTCCCACTCTGGTCATTTGCCATGGTGTAAATATTCCCACGCTGGTCATTTGCCATGGTGTAAATACTCCCACTGTGGCCTCTTTCCATGGTGTAAATACTCCCACTCTGGTCATTTGCCATGGTGTAAATATTCCCACTGTGGTCATTTGCCATGGTGTAAATACTCCCACTGTGGCCTCTTTCCATGGTGTAAATACTCTCAGCATGACTGATTTCAAGCTATCAACATGGCATCTCTGAACTCAGAGTTGGAATGAGTCAACTGCAGTCAGTTCTTACAAGCCAGTAGGAGGCAGTGTCAGCACACCACTGGTCCTGAGGCACACTGATCCCAAGTTGAGAGCAAAGTAAAAATGCCCAGGGCCTGGGAGAGCCCTGCTCTACCCCGAAGCACAGCAGTTGTAATCAGGCCCAAAGGCAGGGACTGAGGAAGACATTTTGGAGGATGGATAACAAATGCGGCAGCTCCCACTTATCTAGTGATGTCCATGACAGGCACTGTGCTGAGCAGTGCTGATGCAGGCAGACTCTCACTGACCCTCCAAGTCACTCTGGGAATTAGGTGTTAATTTTTCACAGATGAGAAAATAGAGGCTTAGAGAAGTCGATGTCTTGGTTCAAATCACACAGCAAATAGGTAAAAGGAGAAGAGATTTAAACATAAGTGTGCTGAACACCAGGACACTGTTCTGCCTCTCAACAGCTCTTCCTAGAAAATTGTAGAAAGGGGACTGTGAAAAGCTGATCTAATGAGGGAAAGAGGAGGGGGAAATTAAAGACTGATACCCACAAGCAGAAACCAAACCCACATACATTGTGTATGCTGAAAATTCATAATTCACGCCGAACAGCAGTGCCGGAGACCCTATCTCCACCTCCACACCAGATTTCTAATATGATTGTCTTACAAACTTTTCCCTAGATTCCTGAAAGAGAAGAAAATGATAAAGCAATATGAAAATGAGTTATATCTATTTCACAATAAATTAACAGCATTCCTCTGTATCTGTGCACTAGACACGTATCAAAAACAGAAATACAGCTCCTGGCCCAAGTTTCCCACTTTTCAGTCCTGCATGACTTACCCGCCAGTCACTTAATATTGCCTAAACTGAATGTTCCTGAACGGAGCAGCCTGAGGGGAGAATAAGGTTTCACGTCGAATATGGGTCACACCATCATTTTCAACCAGTGTACAAGCCACGGTAAGATGACGTCTAGAGTGATGATATATTTGCAGAGCCATCAAAACATAATGTCTTGTTCGTGTGATTATTTGTTTTAGTAACAATGAAGAAATCAGTTAAGACCAACAGTTTCAGAGTCACCCAGACAAGGATTTAAGATGTCCATTTTGGACGGAGGAGAAGCTTACTGTTGGAAAATACATAGGAAGCCAGAAGGAGGAACAAACAGATTATAGGGATTAGCACAATCCAGAGCCCACTTTTTGGGTGTGGTACCTAGACTTCAAGGTGATGCTCCAAGGTCCTCGGTTTGTGGTTGGCAGTCATGCATTTGTGTAGTTCCCTCTGATCACGAGTAGAGGTGACCTGTGCAATCAATAGGGTGGTGCAGAAAGGAGGTGTATGCCTTCTGAGGCAAGGTCATTAAAAACCATAGCAGCTTCTCCCTTGCCCTCGCTCAGATCGCTCCTGGTGGAAGCAACTACCACTCCATGGAGACACAAACAGTCCAATGGAGAGGTCCACACAGGGCGAGGAACTAACCCCTCTGGCCAACAGCCAGCACCAATTCGCCAGTCACAAGTGAACAATCTTGGAAACAGCTCCTCCTGCCCCAGTCACACCTTCAGATGACTGCAGCCCCAGCCCATGTCCTCAGTGTAACCTCATGAGATATTCTAAGCTGACTACAGAAACTGTATGAGTTAATAAATGTTGTTTTAATTTGCTAAATTGGGCTAATTTGTTACACGGCAATATAGTGAATTCAAAGGGTGCTGTAGGTAGGGTTCCCCGCACGCAGACCTGAGACAGGGATTTGGTGCACAAGACGTGTTGAGAGAGTTCTCTCCAGGAGAAACCTATAAGGAGGGAGTGAGGCAGGAACGGGAAGGGGCTGAACGAGGATGTAGTCTCTGGGAAGTTGCAGCCAGGGCCTGGTCCAGGGAGGCTCTGGGGCAGAAATCACACCACTGGGCTGTCCTCCTTGAAGTAACGGGATCTAGCTGTGGTCCTCCTGCCTCTGTCAGCCATTGGCCATGGGCTATTCCCCATGAGCATAACTTCCTGGGTGAGGCAGCTCTCACCAGCGGGAAGAAATTCTCCAGAGAAGGGGGCAGATGAGAGCCATGAGCAGCCAACTCACCCAGCCTGGGGAAGGGTCCATGTGTTTGATAAAGGGGCTCTGGATAGGGCTCCACAGCACTACTGTCAACAAGAAACCTTGAGTGGCATCTCTGTCCTGTGGGGCTCCCCCGCTGCTCCCCCGCAGGCTGGCTCTGCAGGATTTCAGCCCCCAGCAGCTGCCCCTCCTCGGCGCTTACTCTGTTCCAGAAGGCCCTTTCACCCGCTTGGAAATGGAGACGGATAGGAGTCCTGAGGGTTCAGAAGAGGTGAGTATATGTTTATGTCCCAGGAAGAAAATGAGAGTAAGAAAATTGGAAAATGTCCATGTTAACCTGTAAAGTGGCTTCTAGGTCCGGGCAACCCTGATGTCCTGTAAAGTGAGCAATTTCCACCTGCAGAGTGCTTTCCCAAGTGAACTTGCGCGCGCACACACACACGCACGTGCACGCACAATTCTAGTCTTTAGTTCATCACGCTTGCTGCTTATTTGTAGTTATTATTTTGCACACAGTACCAATAGTTTTCTTGTAGCTGTGGCATTTCAGGAAGGAACACAGGGGCCCCCTCGCCCCGGGCACGGTCCCACTCGGGCTCCCTCTATCGCACATGGCCTCCCCCAGAGAGCCACACTCTGCCCACCTTTCCCAAGGCCAAATGCCACCCTCTCGGGGAGACCCCCGTGTCTACAACTGAGACACTCCCTAACTCCCTTCTCTGCTCTCGGGTCCCCCTTAGCACTTACAAACAGCAAATGTGTGAAATGCTTGACCCCTCTGGCGTATTGTTTGTCTCTCCTACCAGTCTTCAGGAAGGTGGGGTTTCTGTCTGTTTTATTCACTGTCACGTCCCTAGTACGGAAAATAGATTGGCACATAGTACGCACTCACTAAATATTAACTGAATGAACAAATGAGAGAATGATTGCTTAAAATTTGCACTCAGCCACCAGGCCAGTGTGGCTCAGTGGATTGAGTGTCATCCTACGGACAGAGAGGTCCCAGTTCAATTCTCAGTCAGGGCACATGGCTGGGTTTCAAGCTCGATCCCCAGTAGGGGGCCATGCAGGAGGCAGCCGATCAATGTTTCTCTCTCTCTAAAAAAAAATCATTAAAAACATACATATTTTTTAAATTTGCATTCACATACAGGTCCGGCTACCTGCTGGCTGGCTGAGTCCCAAACCCAGGAGCTTTCCACTGTGGCATTTGGCGTGCCACTGGTCTGTCACGAGCCTCAGTGAGCTCCAGTGCCAACAGGCTACCTCTCTCTTTATTTTCTTTACTTGTCACTTTTCAGACACATCTCCTCTTTTCCTGAGGAAGGAAGAGCATCTCTGTTCAAAAGATGGCTTTCAATCCGAGAGCCTGAAAACACCCTCAGTGAGTCTTTCTGTGGGAACCAAGTTGGATCTGAAATGCCCCCGGTTGCCTCCGCTGTCCCCAGCCCGTCTGCTCACGTGCTAATGAATCATTTCCATCCTTACCATCAGCTGGGGTCACAAGTGAGAGTATTGTTCTTGGACAAGAACACGCATCCTCGAGAAACTCGCACTTGGGGTGACCTCAGCGGTAGGTCAGACTGTCTGTGTCTCTGTGGGGCAGACAGAATGAGAGTTTGAATTACAGCGTCAGGAAGTTCCCCCCTCCGTGAGCTTGGACGCAGACTTCCTCGAAGTCCCAGAAGGAACAGTGGGCAACGCCAGGTGTCAGAGAAAGTGCTCAGGGACAGACGATGTGAGAGGATTCCACATCCTCGCGGGTTGAAATGAAAAATGTGCACAGATGAGTGAGTGTGGGTGTGTGTGTGTGTGTGTGTTGGGAGGGGAGGTAACAGAAAACATGGGGAAAGAGACAGCAACATTCCTTGAATAACACTGGAATCCCTCATTTAAAGGGTCTTTTGAGCTCGGCTGCAGAGGAAGAGAATGCACCTCATCATTACCTGCTAATTAATTGCCTGTGACAAGCTCACTGCCACACCCAGTCCAGCTCCCCCTCAAAAAACACTGCCGTCGAATCTCAATTCTACAGATTAAAAAAAAAAAATTCAATGAAAATATTTTCTATTTGTTTATGGCCCATTTTGTGTTACAGACAGAGCTCTCCTCTTTTTTTTTTTTTTTTTTATCCTCACCCGAGGACATTTTTCCATTTTTTGTACAGACAGAGTGGGAGGGAGAGAGAGGAAGAAACAGAGAGAGAGAAACATCGATGTGAAAGGGACACATCGAGTGGCTGCCACCACACGACCAACCAGGGCCGGGGACAAACTGCAACCGAGGCACGTGCCCTTAGCGGGAACCGAACCCGGGTCTCTCTGGACCACAGGCCGACGCTCTAACCGCTGAGCCAAACCGGCCAGGGCCGGAGCTCTCCTCTTGATACCTTTCCCATCTCAACAATAGTGCTGTGATACAAGAAGTATTTTCCCAACTTGACTCAAGAGGAAGCCAGGAAGGCTCAGACTTCTCCGGGGCATCTACAGAAATGGCAGGAACACGGTCTGAACCGGCGTGAGCTGAACTCCGGTAACTGCGGGTTTGCTTCTGTGCGGCAGAGGGACGCCAGGAGCGCTTGGCTATTCCTGTTTACTTGTCCATTCCCCACCATTCCCTGCTTGCCTCTGTGTTTCAGAAAACCGCATTTCCCAGGCTCGAATGCCTTCTGGCTCCTGGATGGGTTCGACCAACAGGAGACCCCAGTGGAAAGTAAATGAAGCAGTAGAGAGCGAGGCCTGGGTGTGTCTCCCTCTCTCTCTCTCTGCTCCCAGCAGAAGCTCCACTGCTCACTGCAGCTCCAGATCCCAGTGGTCACACCCCTCCAGGTGACAGCACCTCCTCCTGTTAGAGGTGGAAGAACTGTTGCTAGTCTCTGGCTTATCTCACCTCCGGTTTTGTTTCTCGGCTCTTTCATCATCCATGTAAGCAATTCCCTGTGTTACATTGCCTCTGTTTGAAAGACCTGGGCTGGATTCTGTTCTCCTGGCTGGCCTCTGGCTGATACATATTATCTTTCTGTCAGAAAACAATCACATGTTACTCAAAGCATGTTCAACTGATATTCAAACTATATAGATGCCCTGGATGGTTTGGCTCAACGGTTGGAGCATCGGCCTGCAGGCCAGAGAGTCCTGGGTTCAGTTCCCACTTGGGCACATACCCCCCCCCAAAAAAAAACAAAAAAAAACGATATATAGAGTCAGACTCAAAACACAGAGTCGAGGGGAGACTTGGTGGCCATCGGCATGATTTAATCATCTGAATCTGGTGTTATGCCGAGATAGTCATGAGGCTTTGTCATCCAAGCTGAAGCCCATTGCTTGCATTCACTGGCTGTGTGACTTCCGGTGAGTTACTCAGCCTCTCTGAGCCCCGTTTCTATCAGCACAGAAAACCCGCCCTGCGGTGTCGGCCACAAGTCAGAAATTGTGTGTGTGAAGTAGCAAAGCACAGCCCCTGACACGTAGAAGGCAAACGTTCCTTCTTTCTCTTGCAGTCTAATTAGCCTCAGGAATCTGAAAGATTTCAAACGGACTGAAAATAAACATTTTTCAGGAGTGGCGAGGGCAGTGCACTGCATTGAATTCAGGAGAAAATGGGAAGAAGGACATTTAAAATGATGATCTAGGAACTAAATAACATTACCTAAAAAAAAAAAAAAAAAAAGCTAAAACTTGCAAGATTGGGGGTGTGTGGCCAAAAGAAGACAAATATGACAAAAATGTTTTTGTTTAACACTCCCTTTTTTTTTTTTGTATCACTCAGCCAGGAAATGTTTATTTAGCTTTTCTTCAATTCATGGCTAGGGGAGAGACACAGGAACCAAGCAGGCTCACACTGAGTACTGAGCCCAAGAGTAGCCATCAGAAAACCTGAGAGCCGCTCCCAGCTCACTTCCCCTCTGTGTGCCTCAGTTTCCCCTTTTGCTAGTAGATGATTAGGTCAGTGGTGTGCAGCTCAGGATCACCTTTGCAGCTTTTAAAACGTGCACTTACCCAGGACGTAGCATGAGTCTAAGTCAGTACATTCCTGAGGGAGAGGCCCCAGGACAATTTATCCCCACAAGCTCCAGGTCCTGACATGAGCTCCTGCAAAATCTCCTGCCCTATGGCTTCCAAGGTCCCCTCTGGCTTTAGGACTCTCTCAAACCATGAACACACAGCCACTGGAGAGGGACAGAGAAAAGACGGACCAATGAAGATTGCGGGCGATAGAAGGACAAAGGGCTTCAGCTCTGAAGGGTGGCTAAGGCTGCAACAGACATGGGGCAGAAGCCTTTCCAGGTAAGAGGAAAGGAGGTAAGAAGTGCCAGTTCATTGGTAGAACAAACAAAGGGGGTGGAGGGAAGGCAGACCCCAAAGGAGTATCCAGTAACACAGGCTGGGAAGTTCAACCCAGCCCCACAACTCTGTGACCTTGAGCAAGGATGTACTGTCCCTAATCTCTTATTGTCCTCATCTGTGACAAGGGCACAAAACAGTATCTCGGTCAGAGATTTGTTTTGGGGGTTAACTAGAACCTATGGTGTGCACTCATTAATGCTCTCGATAAAAGAGGGCTAATGCTTGACCACTGTCATCCTGATTACTCCTGTGCCTGTGCCTGGAGCCACCACGCCCGAGGGTGCAATCGAGCAGGAATGAAATGTGATCTGGGGCTGAAAGAAGTTAGAATGAATGAAGATAGGAACAGAGAGAATCAGGAAGGTTTACACAGACATTAGCAAGAGTTAGAGCTGGGCTTCTCAGTGTCATACTGATATTTGGGGTCAGAGAATTCTTTTTTTGGGGGGGGGGGGGTCCTGTGCACTGTAGGAAGGTTGGCAGCATCCCTGGCCTGCCAGATGCCAACAGTACCTCCCAATTATGGCAACAGAAGCGAATCCACACGTCACCTCTGGAGGGGCAAACTCGCCCCGGTACTGAAGGATTACTGGTTGAGAGCAATGAAAATGAAGATTTCTCAAGAGGAGGGGACAGAAATAGAGAACTAGAGGAGTTAAAGGGAAAGCCAATTTTGATAATTGGGAAGAGAGAGAGGGCAGTTGTGTGTTTGTGTTTGAAAGCCTTCGATGCGTCTGCACGAGCCGTGAGGTGCTCCGTGAAGGCTGCCTGCGGGGGGCCCCCGCGCTTTCTTTACAGAAACACATTTTGGCCCAGGTGGAAAGAGTGTCTAAGTCCCGGTGGCGAACCCAAAGTGCAGATCTTGGCTGATCCCCAGAGGGCGTCACTCTTCCCTCGTTGCCATGGTTGCC